CCCTCCAGCCATATTCAAATTAAACTACTAGTAAACACAAAAAGGCAAACAGAAGAAAAACTTCACCTGTCAGGAACTACTGGTTTGGTTTTAAAAAATGTATCTTTCGAATGCCCACAAGAGGAAGTCCAGTCTGTAGCATAGCAATAAGATAATACACATTTGGAACAGGGTCTTTTAAAGAGAAGACTGACCAGGTGCTATCCCATTGCTTGTTAACGCTACCTACGTTATCTTCAGCAGATCCCTTTATATGTCACCCATAACACGATACTTCTAGGTGGCCAATGAGTAGTAGTAAAGACTGAAATGTCAGGTATTAGTGAAATATATCTGATAACTATTGTTCTGGGCTATCTTATCTGTCTAGAATACATCACTTCCCCCAAATAAATAAATAAATAACAGTTAACAAGGTTTTCATTTGTAGCTTTTAAATAATTAACAATTCAAGTTAAATCAGAAGTGACCTTCTGATCAACCCTGAACAAACAAAAACTTAAACAAATACACTACATTCATGAAGGCTTTGGTTTGCTTAAAATTTATCACAATTTTAATATATTACAGATTTGTTACTTTAAGCAATCAAAAATAAATGTATATTTATACTTTGATAAATATCAAAAATTATAATTCACATAAACAAAAAACCATTAAGGTATTCAAGATTATAAGGCTAAAGACTTGAGAAGCATCCTACTAAATGTTCCAATTAATACTTGTTCCCATACCATCTTTCAAAAGTAAGCACCAAACAGAAATATGGCTCATGCCTATAATTCCGGCCTAAGGGGGCCTGAGATAGGAGGACAGCTCTAGAAGCTAAATAACACAATACTTCAGATGGTGGGGTACCATCATACACAATTAAAAGACAAAATTACAAAGTATTTTTTAAAGTCAATGATTCTAATAAAATTTTAAAAAGCTACCAAGTCTTTAGTACTAAAAAATAAGTCAGGTATGTTGATACATGCCTATAATTCATGGAAGGTAGAGTAAGAAGGATCCGGATTCAAGGTTAGCCTAGGTTTCATGAAACTCTGTCTTAATAAGTAAATATAAAGAGGAACAAAAATAATATTTCAGTGTTAATGCTAATAAGAATAGTTCAGTGAATTTGTGTACAAGGACAACCTATTCATAAAGAGAAGAAAATAAAACTGAAATAAAACCTGCATATGCCTTTAACTGTTAAGACAGAAAGTACTCTTACCTTCATTTTTTTTAAGATGATAAACTCAAAACAAAAGGCTATGGAAGTATTGACAAAATTAGTCAACTGAATTCTGCTGGGAGAAATACAAATCTTTCTAAGGTAAATCTAGCAAGAGCTTTTAAAACTGACAAAACCTTCATATCCTCTGATACTGTAATTCCTCCCATGAGTCTTTAGCCTACAGGAAAAAAAGATGATGAATATGTGGCAATATAGTAACAGTAGAATCCTGAACAGGACTGGGAGTAGCATTCTAGTAAGGCCATCCAGAACACCTAAATACTAACTGCACTACTTACAAAATAAGCAACTTACATGTCCACTTAGAAATAAGTAACTATCCTCTATAACACTGTATAATAACCCAAGGTATAAAAACTGAAAAAAGAAAACCTATCAAATATGAAAACACAGGTTAAAGATTACATTTACACACCAATCAATCAATGATATAAAATTATATGGAACTAACAAGAAACAAGGAATAATTTCTTTTGATTTTATTTCTTTGACCACTTGTAAAACAAAATGCCTTTTGGAACTGGTCAGGCCCATTATACTAAGCACATAGTTAAAAAATGACTTTTTAGAAACATAAATCTACAATAATCATTTTTTGTCACTAAAAAACTATCACAGGAGCAATCAGAGCAGCTTTTCTCACAACATGCAAGCTACACATGTAATTTTAGCTATGCTATTACCAGGCTGTCACCCAATTATATCGAAATCTCACTTCACCATCAGAAGGAACTGTGCAGGATCTCCATATGGTGACCAGAGGCACCCAACACCAAACTGCAAGCTGCAGCCCAGTGGAGTGGTAAGGGCCCAGTTTCTCCCATTTTCCCAAATGAGGTATCACGTTTCTTAGGCACTCAAGGGCTTTAGGTCCCTAGGAGTGGCAGCTGAGGACTCAGAGGACGAGGAAAGCACAAGCAGACTTCTCCACAGAGCAGTGAGAAACACACAAATATAAAGTCAGGAGCTGCAACACAGAGGTCGAATGGACACAGAGGCAAGCTACTTGCTTTTTCAGGCTCTGACTGTTCAAAATGAAAAAATTTTAGCGCTGAACCAAACAATCTGTGAAATCTTTCAACTTCAATATCTACTAATATAGTCCTCTAATAAATATCCACCTCTCTCATACCTCACCATGATGGTAAAACCTCTACTAAGAATTAGAGGCTAGGCAGTGAGGGCTTATTTCTCTTATCCTAATACTCAGAAAGCGGAGACAGGGGCTGCAGAGATCTGAGGTCCGCCTGAGCTGAGCAACCCATAGAGTTCTGGGCTAGCCTAGATTATAGTGAAACTCTTTAAAGGGGAGGAGGGGACAAGATGGCTCAGTGGATTAAGGTGTTGCTTGCCAGCCTGACAAAGCTCTATCCCCAGCATTCACATGCTGGTAAAAGGGAACCCACTCCTACAACTGACCTCCACACACATCATAATACACACACACACTCTGGCACAGGAGCACGAGTATGTGTGAATGTGAACACACACACAATAAATGTAATTTTTAAAAATTTGGATTTAGAATTAGGATAAAGGCAAGTAAAAGTGAACCAAAAAATGGTCAAAAGACTTATATTGTATTCCCAGCTCTGTCCCTTTCTATCCATAGGACTGCGGGCAAATCACTGAACCTCAAAATAAAGTTCTAGACCAACCCTTACTGGCCATGATCTTCTCATTCCTCCATCTTGAAGAAAATTGACTTTTTTCCATCATAACCAGGATGTCATCCCTAACCAGTATCAATTTTTACTTCATCCTTAAATAAAAGTAGTAATGTTGGGGCTGGAGAGAGAGCTTAGCAGTTAAGATCACTGGCTCCTCTTCCAGAGGATCCTGGTTCAATTCCCAGCACCCACATGGCAGCTCAGTCTGTAATTACAGTCCCAAGGATTCTGACACCTGCACACAGACATACATGCAGGCAAAATGCATAAAATAAAAAATAAATAAATCATTTTTAAAAAGTAATAAATGGTATTCTTTTCTAAGTTTTCTGGTACTGAAAGACAGTCTAAACATATTTCACTTATCTTAAATCTGCATTCAAGCCTGGACCCCTTCCTCAAAATGCATTCAGTAAATAGATTTTAGCAGTATGTGCTGCACCAGCAAACTTATATTTAAGCAAACCATGAACTTCCAATCGACAAAACACTAAGTGCACAATGGAATGGCACTACTGGATCCGTGAAAAAAACATGGGAGACACGTAGACAAGACTCAAATTCAATACTTTCGTGAGGTTATAAGAGCAAAACGTTCACTGGGAAGACAACTCTGGACAGAGGGAAGAGAGGAAGGTTTCATCTTCTGTGAACTGCAAATAGCCGCATGGAGAGGACATGCATACTTGTAGATGAAATGAGAATGGAGATAAGCTCCAGAAATTGGGAAAGACTGGATTTCCCCAGCACAGACTGTGATGTCACTGAAAGACTTCTAAGCGTGGACATTAAAATTCCCTTCTTCCCCCAACACAGTCAAAGCAATGAGGCAACAAGCAGAAACTTCTACCTGAGGAAAGGTAACGTAAAAAGTTCCTGCTCTCAGGATGGCTCTTTCTTCTTATGGCATATTAAAGAAACAATACAAATTACACGTTAAGAGATGGAAGTATTTTTAACCTAGAGATTGAGGTCAATGTTGTTCAGAACAAGAACGAAACCACCATATAAGAGTAATGTGCTTTAACAAATTAAGAGACAAACATCAAGAAAGTCTGGAAAGAAGACTGACTGAATCCGTGCAAACACTTCATCAATGTTTACATCCTTACCAATTATAGACTACACATTATAAGACATATCTTGTGCTTACCTTGCAAATTAAATGTGATTAAAGTGTTTTTAGTCTAAATGACAATATGTTAATCAACTATCTAAATACATATATATTGGTACTTAATGTTCTCGATCAAAAAAATTAAGGCTAGCCTCGAGCTTGCTATGTAGACCAGGCTAGCGTGGAACTCACAGAAATTCACCTGCCTCTGATTCCTGAATGCTGGGATTAAAAGCATGCACCTATACCTGGCTTCTCTAAGTGAAACAGGACATTCCAATCTGGGACAGCAAAGAGTCTGTGTGCCAGTAATTTCCACTGCCAAGGCCTACTCTACAATCAGCAAGCCTAATTGGCTAGGTAGCAGCAGAGATGAATTTGCAATTATTGAAATCCAATGTCAGGTTTTAGCACCAGCCACCATCTCAAATAAATACCCCCTCCCTTTACTTTGTCAAGAAAGTAGGTACATTTAAAACTGCATAAAAATAGATGTCAGAAAAAAAGAGAGAGAGAGAGGAGGGGGAAAAGGCACCTGAACCTATAGATACGGTATAATATACCAAACTTCTTTTTCAAGACGTGTTTTAGGGCGTGTCTTTGTTTTGACTCAGTGATTTAAAAAAAAAAAAAAAAAACTCACTCATCCCAGGCTGTCAGGTACTTTCCCTTTCCAACACGAGCATCCTGGCTTTGAAATCCGAGGGCTTCTCAGCCTCGCCCTGATTTCCCGGTGCAGGGAGGCTACAGCCCCGGCGTCCCGCGGCCCCTATTCCCGTCACAGCACCGCCGGGCAGGGGCGTCCGGCCTGCCCGCTGCACGGCAGGCGGCTCGGGAGAGGGGGCTCCGAGGGTCGCCCCAGAGCGCTGACGGCCAAGGACGCCCGGCCCTCCACCCGCCCGCGCCGCGCCCCCGAGCCGGGCACCTTCGGGCGCCCCCGCGACCCCGATCCCTGACCCCCGGCTCTCACCGTGCGGAGGTCGCGCTGCCTCCTCGGCCGCGGCCCGGCTGCGGGTCGCCCAGCGACCTGCAGGCCCGAGGATGGAAGAGAGGCGAGGGGCAGTCCGTCACATCCCCGTCCGCCCAGCCGCCGGCCCCGCAGCAGCCAGCATCGCCTCCACGGCCTGAGGGAGCGCCGGACTTCACGGACGCCGCGCCCCCTCCCTTGGCCGGCGCCCGCCTGGACTCCGCCCTCCAGGGCCCGCGCACTACGCGTGCGTAGACCCGCCCCCCGGGAAGTCCGTGCGCAGGCGCGAGCCTCACTGGGCTAGGCCCCGCCTCCGGGCCCGCCCCATTCTCTTGCCAGCCGTTCCCAGGCTCCGCCCCGTTCCACTGACCTTGCTCCTTTGGCCCCTGACTCAGGTCTTTGCTGAGGTTAACCTTTCACTTAGGTTTCATGGCTGACCACCTCGAGATGGCCCGCTGGATTCAGATTTGCTGCTTGACCACGACCAATCCTGTCAGCTCCCTCTCCAGACTGATAGAAGTGATCTGAACACGGGAGCAAGCATGACTTCCCATCCTCCCCTGTCTACATTTTGTTTTGGCCTCTGCCAAGCATACTGAATCTGGCTGAGATTGAGATAAGACACTGAGAGCTGAGAACTCAAGCTATCCTATGATGCTGTGGATCTAAATTCCATTTGCCAGGACCAGTTCCCCACTTCCTTTGGGGCTTCCGTCTTCCATAAGCCATCTCCCCTCAGTCGTAGATGGTTGGACCAGTCCATAAGAGTCACTGTGCAAGCCTGTGGTAGCTGACTGTCTATTAAAATCATTGAAGGTGCTCTTTATCTGGCCCTAGACTGTTCTGCTTGCGAGCCCCAACAGCTCAACTGAAATTAATAACACTGCAAGAGAACTTGAAAAATCACTTCTTCTCCTCCAGACCACTGAGGTAACCACCCTGTTAAGCGAGGAGGAGACACTTGTGCCCCTCCCTTTGGCCACCAGACTGTTGAAACATTGTACTCCAAAGAATTAAAAAACTTTTGAGGCATCCCATCCTGGGGAAACGGAAACAACCCTGAAGGCCTAGTGCCATCCAGAGGAGGGACTTGCCTCCCAGGATTTCACGCAGTTCTGACAAATTCTCAGATCGTTTTTGCAGAATAGATTTGAGTGACCTGAGACACTGATAGGTCAGTGCTGGGCAAGAAAACCTTAACTAGGCAGTTCTGCTCAAATGACAACTATCTCTTGCTCTCATTTGAACTTAAACCTCTTGTCAATACTCCTGAAGGTAGACTTTCACGAAATGTAAGCAGTAAAAATCTTTGCTTCCTCCTCTTCCCTAAGTGGCCGTATTGAATAAGTCTCCTTTTTATGTGCTTCATTATTACTTGTCTCTTTAATTGGTCAATTGAATAGTGGTAGGGAGATGTAACTATGTGGATGATAATGTGCTGATTTAAAATGCTGAAAAAGACTAGGTCTACATGTGGTACATTTCTTTTAAGATGAAGGAAATCATTAGGTAAGAAACACCTGACCCAGAGCCCTGAAATACCCCCATTCAAGCACATCATTCACGAGATGAGGTTACTAAATATGCTTTGGAGTTTGTGCTACAATCTAAATTGAGAGATGGGACAGAAGTGGCTCTCCACAGCCTGTCCCTGGGAGCTGAGCAAAATGCTCCATTTTCAACAGTCTCCATAAAGAATCTGGGAAGGGTAGGGTGATCCTCAGTTCCCCCCTCCAGGAAGATCTTTGCTGCTCTAGACAACCTGGCTGTGGTCTTGTGACTCCCTGAACGTTTGAGGTAACTGTGTGTTTTCTCTGGCAGTTTGAAGTGCTAAGTCACTACTTCCCTTTCTTCTACAGAAGCAGGAGCCTTCCTGAATGCATGATGCATATGAATTTTTCCAGGCTTCATCTAATTTTCTGCATTCCTATTTTGTCTTTGTCCCAATTTTCTCACTTCCTCGATTGTAACATCACTTCTATTTCTATTAGGCACTTGTTTCAATTTATTCCCACACAATTTTAATTTGCGAGATGGCTGTGATGACACAGAGAGGTCAGTGTGTTGAAAGAAGATTTTTACTGCTTACATTTCGTGAAAGATGGAATGCTTATGTCATGCAGGGGCATATGCAGAAGCATCAGGTTTGGTTGGGAGTGGAGGGAAAATCCAGACAAAAGCTTTTATTGGGATTTATGTGGGAAATGATCAGAGAGAAGTAGGAATATCTTGGGAATGCCGAGTGTGGATAATGTCAGAGAACTTTAAACCACAGACACCTCTCCAGTTGTTTGATAACTGACCATGGGTTATTTAGATCAGGGAGAATACAAGCTTGGTTTATGAAAGTTAGACAAAGAGGTGATTGTAGCTGTAGACTTATGATTGGCTGGAGGCTGTCATAGGATTTTTTTTACATGCTCATGAAAGCTGGATTACAAGGGAAGTGTAAACAATGCTCACCATTTGTTAGGATGCCAAATAGAAAAATCTAAGAAAACATAGTTAAACACCATTTTAGAATTATGTATAGAAAAAGACTAAAAAGGCTGACACCTGAGGAGCTAAAGGATATATATAGTTGAGGTCAAGAGTAAGAAGGCAGACCAAGATGGGCATTTGGTTCACACGTTTTAGCATGCCTAAGAATTCAAATAACACAGATTGCTGGCACCAGCCCTAGAATCTCAAATTCAGCATGCCTGGGGTGGGGCACAGGAATTTGCGTTTTTGTCAGATTCTCAGAGTGCTGCTCTACGGATCAAACATGGAGAACCACATGACTTGAATACCTCTGCAACAACCAGCCATGCTGGTGGAGATAACTCTCCAACCCTTAAAGGGTTGATAAGACACAAAGGTCTAAGGGACTAAGTGTCCCATGTCATGTGGAAAAATATCACAACTGTGTCAACCTTTGACCAGTAAGGAACAGCTGAGAGAGCCAGGGTATGACTCAAGTCCGTGAGCTGGGAAGAAGGACTGATGATGAAAAGTCAGAGGTAGATGGTGCAAACTGCAATGATAGGACTGCGCATGCTTCGATCAACCTCCCTTGTGTTTTTTTTCAGTATACTGAGTCCTGTCAGAGCAGAGATGGAGAACCAGGTGATTTTGCAGGGTTGTAGCATGGAGCTGCTGGTTAACAACTGGAATGGACGATGATGGTCGGGCCAACTCAGTAGGTAAAGTAACTTACCACCAAGCCAAGCAACCTGAGTTTCATCCCAGAAATCACATAGTAAAAGGAGAGAAATGAACCTATACGTTATTTTCTGGCTTCCATGTACATGTGCCATGGCACATGTGTGCCTACACACATAATAAATAAATGTTAAAAAATATTTAAACAAAAACTATAGCTTTCAAATAGCAAGATAAGCCAGAATGTGTGCATTAAGTCTGGTAGGGGCTAATGGGGATGAGGGGAAATAGAGAAGAATAAATTGTAGAGATCAGTGTGGTGTTGAGTCTAGAGAAGAGTTGGTGAGCATATCATGCAATTTCACTATAAATTTTTCTGTCAGAACAGAAGAAGGACAGAAGATACCTATATGTTATATACTAGAGGAATGCATCTCCTCAAAATAAATATACTGAAGTCCTCCCCCCCGTGAGCCTCTTTAGAGTACGGGTCTTCAGAAATTATGAATGAATAAGATCATGAGACCCTCGTGGAGCCATCAGTGTCCCCCTGTGAAGGAAGAATTAGGCTGGTGAGACAACCCAGCCTGACAACCTGATGACCTGAGTGCAATCTCTGAAAGCTACATGATAGAATAAGAGAACTGACTTCTACAAGTTGTCCTCTGCTCTCGACATTCGCACTGCGACATGAAAATGCATAGTAAACACACACACACACACACAATAAATAAATAAATAAATACATGTTTAAAAAATTAATAAGGGGAGGCACAGGCTCTTTATTTCTGCTCTACACCAAGTAAAGATTCATTAAGAAGATAGCTAATTCCCAGTGTGGTGGCGTATGCCTTTAATCCCAGCACTGGAGAGGTGGAGGCAGGTAGAGCAATGTGAGTTTGAAGGCAGCCTGATCTATATAACAAGTTCCAGGACATCCAGGGCTACCTAGAGAGACCCTGTCTCAAAAACAAAAAGCAAACTCAAAAAGGAGATAATTATCTGCACCAATGTAGATCTTCACCAGATAGCAGGGTGACTCTGTTCCTTGCACACCTGGCCTTTTATGTGTTAATTTGATAAAACTATAAATTTTACAAATAAAGACAAAACCTTACTAATTAGTAGTCATGTAAGTTTTCCTTCCAAACCTCCACTGGTCCCTAGGTATGATCACTGCTTAAGACATATAAACAGATTCTCTGCAAATGCCATTGGCTGATGCCTCCAACTTTGTGTCATACTGTGATAAGAAACAACTTGAGATCCTGTTTTGTTCATTGTGTCTGCAGAGAAGTTACTAAGATGTTGATTTGGAAGGTGTCATGTGCATACTTCTTGTTCTTTTGCTTTTGTGGAGGCAAATTATTTAATTATTTCTTCTGCAGAAATTTGTAAAGACTTTGTCTCTACTGGTAGTTGGTCTTTTCTTTGGACAGCTAGCCAGTTCCCAAATAAAAACACGGAGACTTATTATTAATTATGAATGCTTGGCCTTACCCTGTCCCACTAGTTTTTTTTTTTTTAAACTTACTTTAACCTGTTTCTATTCATCTATGTTTTGCCTCAGGGCTTTTTACCTTTCATTCTGTATGTCCTACTTCCTGCTTCCTCTGTGTCTGGCTCGCCCCTGGTGTCTCCCTGCTATCTCTTTTTCTTTCCTCCTTTCCCTAAATTCCTCTTCCTACTTACTCTCCCTGCCTGGAAGTCCTGCCTGCACCTACTATTGGCCATTCAGTTTTTTATTAAACCAAGCAGATGCCTTAGGCATGCAAGGTAAAACAGCAACACATCTTTCCATAGTTAAACAAACGCAACACATCTTTGCATAGTTAAGTAAATATTCTGCAACACTACTGTTGGGTCAATTTTAGTAAGTCATACTTGCTTAAAATACCTATTTCTGTCACATTTATTTACATAGAATTATTCAAACTATTTTTTGTTCTTTTTTTCTATTTTTATGCTGCCATGTCTGTTTTTGCATATTTGTTTTTTCTTTCTTTTAAAACTTAACTAGCTAATAGTTTGTATGTTTTGAATATCGAGCTTTTGGATTTATTTCTACAATTCTATTATTCAAATCATTATTT